CCCTAATTCCCATGGTTTAGGGCCCTAAACCCTAAACCCAGTCCGTAAGGTAATGCAGGGTTTATATCATCAACCGTAGTTTTAAGATTTCAGAGCTGTAAAGTGGAAGGTCTGGGGTTCTAGCGTGCTTGGGGCTCTGTATCTCGGATTCGAAGAGAGTGGGGTTTGGGTGTAGGGTTTAGGGTTTAGGGTTTAGGGTTTAAGGTTTAGGTTTAAGGTTTAGGTTTTATAAGGTTCAGGGTTTAGGGTTTAAGGAGTAGGGTTTGGGGTTTGCTGTAGTGGAGTACCCCAGATTTACTTCGACCGAGCTCGTATCGACGAACTTTCGGGGCTCAGTGATGCTAAATCGTTGCAGATCTTCCCACCCTTGACCCGTACACCCCTAAACCCTAAAGCCCTAAGCCCTATAAACCCTGAACCAGACACTCCGGGACGCAAGCCGCCTAACCAACCTCCATAATCCATACCCGAAGCCCACTGAAATTCCTACACCAGACAGACACTAAACCATAAACCCGAAACTATAAATCCCAAACCCGAAAACCCAAACCCTGAAACAAGAAAGATGACCAATCCACAAGAAACAACTATAATATTTTAAATAAAACTACGGTTGATGATACAAATCCTGCATTACCTTAAGGACCCCAAACTATGGGAATTCTATTATATTCCTTATTATGGATACTGCAGGATTTATATCAGCCACCGTATGATGGTGATCCTAAACTCTAAACACCCCTCCCCCTCCCCGTCTGCTCCTGCCCTAAACCCTAAACCCTAAACCCTAAACCCGAAACCCTAAACCCTAAACATCCCTAAACCCTAATCCCCGATCCCTACACCCTAAACCCTGAACCCTAGACCCTAATCCCTAATACCTACACCCTAAACCCTAAANNAAACCCCCTAAACCCCCTAAACCCCTGAAACCCTAAACTCTAAAGACGCCTCCCCCTCCCCGACAGCGCCTGCTGCGCGAAGGCCTGGAGCTGCCTAGAGACGCGGAGGTTTCAGAAGGGCTGCGGGTCTCGGCTTTGAGCCTTGAGGTTTAGGGTTTAGGCTTTGAGGTTTATCTTTTTGAGTTTAGGGTTTAGGCTTTGAGGTTTAGAATTTAGAGTTTACGGTTTAGGGTTTGGGGCTTGAGGTTTAGGATTTAGGTTTTAGGGTTTAGGAACTTAGGGGCTTCTACACAAAGGCTTACGATTTGGTCTAAATCAAGGTGTCTGGGAAGGTTTCTGCAAGGGTTGCTATAAGGGTAGTTCTCTGAATTAGGGTCCCTTTTGAGTCCTCAATACAGTGCGGCACCCTTATACAAAGGACCTGAAAAGGGAACCTAATTCAGAGAGCTACCCATAGTAAGGTTTCCGCAGCGATTTCTGTAAGGGTTTCGGTAAAGGTGCCAAAGCTTAGGGTTCAGGGTGTGGGAGCGGGCCGGGGGGCGGGGGGGGTGGGTTAAGAGAGTTTAGGGCTTGTGGGCTTTAGGGCTCTAGGGATTATAGGGTTTAGGGATTTAGGGGGTGTAAGGATTCAAGGGTTTAGGGATTTGGGGGCTTTAGGGGTTTAGCCTAGGTTTAGAGGCGTTTGGAAGGTGTGTGTAAGTCTTAACTTAAATGTATTAACAACGGTCTTACCTGATTCTGCACGACTTTCGTGGCCTTTGCAGAGAGCCCCATGCCACAAAACACTGGCACTGATGGAAAGGCATCCTCACAACCCTAAACCCTAAACCCCTAAACCCCTAAACCCGAAACAGCTTAGGGGTTTAGGGGCTTAGCGGTTTGAGAGATTGGGGTTAAGGGTTTTCCAGGCTGCAGGGTGCGGGCTTCGGCTGGTTCGCATTGAGGCTTCTATAAACGTAAAAAATGGGTTAAGGGTTTAGGGTTTAGCCTTGGCGGAGAGTCTGGGCGATAATGGACTCCGTATGGGCTATAGTGGGCTCCGTTGAGACAGGGATTACTTCGTCTGGGTTTGAGGTGGAAGGCCATTTGGATTCGGGGTTGGGGATATGGACATAATCTAGGGGCCTTTCTAATTCGAATTCGGCTTTGGAGCCCATTAGACTAAAATTAGAATCAGGAACCCCCAAAATAATATAAAGGCCACTATCCCCAGGCCCGGGCCCTGAACCTAGCAACCCTCGAACCCGCAACACCGAATCCCTAGAATAGGGACCCAAGGCCCCTATGGTTTGGGGTTTGGGGTGTAGGGGTTTAGGGTTTAGGGTTTAGGGTTGAGGGTTGAGGGTTGAGGGTTGAGGGTTTAGGGTTTAGGGGTTTAGGGTTGAGGGGTTGAGGGTTGATGAGGGTTCTAGGGTTTAGGGGTTTCGGATTTCGGGGCTTAGGGTAAACTCGCAAGCCTCAAAACCTAAACGAGTTGCTGTTGAGGGGGAACAGCCCAAGTCCCAAAACCTCAAAGCCATCCCAAACACGCTACGCTGCTCTAAACCCTTAAACCCCAACCCCCCCGAAGCCTATAAGCCCTGAACCTTAAACCTTAGACGCCAAAAGCCCCAAAAACCCTCCTCTTCTGATTTCCGCCCGGGAGGCAAACTCCGCGAGATGTCATAGACACAGGCATTGTGAGGGCCAGTGAACTCACCGGCCCACTCCTTAGAGCTTTGAAAACCACGGTTTCGGGCTTAGGAGATAAAGCTTTGGGGACCAGACGTCAAAACCCTTAAACTAAGGAGTACAGTTACCTTAGACTACAGTCTGAATCCCAATAAGTATGATCTACGGCAATATGTCAGGAGTTAGGATTGGGAGCTCGGGGGGTTCTATACTCTAAACCCAAGAAGGGTGGAGGAAGAAAACCTGTAAATTTTGCGTCCACGTCACCTTGTCATCGATGTGCTGCATGAACTGCTTGAAGAAAGAAACCTTCCTCAGAACTTAACGACTTAGGGCTTAGGGTTTAGGGTCTAAGGATTCGGAGGAGCCCCATACCACTTAACGATGCCATGTGCCTTGAGCTGTGTTCATGAAGGATCGGGGACCCTAAACCCAAAACCCAAAACCCTAAAAAGGGAAACCTCGGGGCTTTCTAATTCTCAAGGCTATCGATGACTCGTAGCCTAGTGCTGTGTTCCTATGAGGGCTCTTGGAATTGGCGTCACCCGAAAAACGTCCGACCTCGACTCCCTCAAACTCTATACCCTGGCACCCTAAACCCTACAGTAAACCCTAAACCTACTACTATACCCTGGAACCCTAAGCCCTCAAAGCCTCAAAGCCCTCGACACCCCGAACCCCAACCCCCAAAGCACTTACCAAGGCAAGCCTGCATCCTGTTAGTCCAAAGTATCTTCAAGACTGGACCCGAAACCCTACACCCTAAACCCCCTAAGCCCTAACCCCTAAACCCGAACGCCTAAGCACTAAATCTTAAACCGGCCCCCTAGCACCCCCCCCCCCCCAAACCCAAAGTCTTAAACCCTAAACCCGCTTCGGCCCGAAACTCTCGACCCCCGTAGAAGTTCACCCTTGAGGTAGCTGCCGCGGCGCCTTCCGACTTTTTTTAAGGAGGTGTCCTTCCCCGGTAGGGATACCCGTCCTCCAGCAGTCATGCGACTGGCTGGGTGGGAAAAGGCGATGGGCACAAGAGCAGAAGACTAGCAAAGACGTCAATAATCAAGTGCTCAGAGGGTCTGGGTTTAAGGTTTTTGGTTTTTTTGCTAGACCTCTGCCACCTTCTGAACCCCCCCCTACCTACGTACCAGAACCCCGGAATCCCCGAAAACCCTTGAAGCCCCCTTAGCCCACGAGCTTAGAGAAAACAAACAGTTGTTCAAAAGGAAACCGCAAAGAAGAAGCAACCGCCCAAAACCAAGAAAACCCGGAAAGGAACCGCAAGACTAAGAACCCTAACGCCCCGTCCACCCCGAAGCCCCGGAACAGCCCCTTCCTCCCAGCCGCGGGAACCCGAGAAAACCTTAGAGGCCCCTTAGGCCACGAGCTTAGAGAGAAAAAAAACCCTTGTCCAAAGGGAAAACCAAGAAAACCCGGAAAGGAACCGCAAGACTAAGAACCCTAACGCCCCCTCCACCCCGAAGCCCCGGAACACTCCCCGCCAGAGCCGGTGCCCGCAGCGGGCCGTGAGTGAAACGTGCATCCTTGGGTGAAAGTCACCCAAGGACCGTCCCGATTTGCTTCCAATGATCCGCAAAGCATCGCCTGGCTCGAGGCCGTGTTGCCTCCATGCTTTTCTGTATGTCATCTTGAAGATGTGGTGCAGCTGCACGTAGCGGGGTAATTTGAGCTCGACGACCTCGCGCCCGCTGAGATAGTACAGCTTCATCCTTTAGGGGAATACGGATGGGTGGGGGGGGGAGGTCGTTCAGCCTACGACTTAATATAAAATGAAAAAAAATTGCGTTCACACCTGATACCGGACAGGTGCGTAAACCGCACCCATGCCACCAGGATCAAGGTTCTGCGTGTCGGAGGGGTCTGCGGTAGCCGTCCGCTTCCGGCGGGGTGGCTCCTCCCCATACGGCCGGCAAGCCTCCCTCAGGACTCTTTGGTCCTCTCTCTCTAGCCACCCTCGCCATTTCCTGCACAGGTGGCGGCAGAGGTCGCGTCCTTTGCGCGACTTACCGTCCACCCAGGCTGGTCCCGTCAACGGCGACCCACAGCCTTTTTTGAATTCCCGCAGGTACGTCACCATGGCGTGGTAGCCAAAAGGACGCACCTGGTGCGTCCGCGTCAGCCCTGCAGGGAACTCAGAAAGACATCCGGAAACAGTAAGACTCTCCTATTTGTTGCCTGGGAGGTCCCACAGAAAGAACCTAAGACCCCGGGACCCACCGAAGCCTAAAGAAACCGTCTAGCCACCAGAGCTAGGATCTATTTCCCCTGACCTTCGGCGCGGCAGCGGACGGTCCGGCGCCAACGGCGTCGGCTGTCTAGGAAGCCCAGGGACTAGAAGAACTAGAAAGAACCCTAAAGAAACCCAACAACTCTACTCTGTCTGATCACACATTAAATCAGACCGAGGACTTCGTACCCTTTGACGCCCTGCTTCGTCTGGGTCTCGAAGAGGCTCACATCCACGTGTTCGTCCTGAAAGAAGTCAGTCTCTAGAAACGGAAGAGAAGGAAGAACCCGAACCCCCCGAACTAAAAACCCGGAACCTGAACCCGCGAACCTCGTCGATGCTGCTGAGCCCCAAGGGATCCCAGCAGTCGTGGACCGTGCCACAGGTGAGGCAACAGAACTTGTTGTCCTGCTGCGGGGAAACCCCCCCTTCCTGTGGAAGGACACCCTCTCGTGATCCCAAGCCGGGGAAACCAGAACCAAAAGGAGCAACCCCGAAGGAACTGAAGAACCCTGAAGGAGCCCACCTCTTGGAGCCTCATCGTACTCGAGGCGAGTGCTGCCACACTCCCTGCACATAAAATCGCCTTCGGTATAACGCAAGGTCATGATGGCAACCGCGGCAACGAAAGAGAGACGGGCAGCAGTCTGATTGCTGGAGGCTTGAGCACTGTAGCGTCGAGACAATTACAACCCCCCCTTCTAGCCCTAAAGCCCTCCAAGTCGGAAGCACTATAGCCCTCCAGCCCTAAACCCTTGAGCTTAGGGCCTCGGGCTTAGGGCTTAGGGTTTAGGGTTTAGGGCTTAATTAGGGCTTAGGGTTTAGGGCTTAGGGCTTAGTTAGGGGTTTAGGGCTTAGGGCTTAAGGTTTAGGGTTTAGGGTTTGGGGCTTAGTGCCGATTGTCCGGGCTCGGCAGGGGGCTCAGGCCGGCGCTCAAGGCCTATGGGCCGCACATGCATGGGTCCCCATGGAAAAACATGAGTTAGGAGTTTAGGGCTTAGGGTTTACTAGACCCTAAACCCTAAGCCCTACACCAACCAACCAACCTAAACCCTTCCAGCCGCACACCCTGAAACCCTCCAGCTCTTGCGCTCAGGAGGCTGGAGCCATGCGAGGTTGATTGCAATGCCTTGGGGTTCTGAGGTGTAGAGTTTAGGGTTCTCTCTGGTTCTGAGGCTCAGGGGTTCTATTGTTCTTTTTTTCAGGGTTCTAGGGTTCTGGTTTAGGGGTTATAGGGTTGTGGATTTCCGGGCTCTAGGGTTTGGGGCTCTAGGGTTACCGGATTGAGGGTTGCCAGAGCTCTGGGCTTCTAGGCTTTAGGGTTTGTGTCGGGTTTGTAGACGGAGTTAAGGTTTCGGGTTTAGGGTTTATGGCTTGCGGCGTTTTAAGATGATCATCGCCGGGATCCTTTTTGATTTCAAGTCAAGGGCCATCAAGGCAAGGAGCTTCAAGCTTTCCAACCTTTGGGCTCCTAGTCTCTGGGTAGTTCTCTAAATCAGGGTCCCTTTTAGGGTCCTTTCTTATAGGGGTGCCGTGCCATGTTTGGGACCTAACAAGGGATCCTAATTTAGAGAACTCCCCCCTGTGGTTTCCCAGGGCCCGGGGGGGGTGTCCTGAGGGTTTTGGCTTCAGGGGCTTAAGGCAAGGGAGGCTGCAGCGCTGAGAGTGTGGGCGACAATCCATAAATATCAAACCAAACCAGTGACCAGGGTTTAGGGTTTAGTAGTCTTGTTATTTCTGCAGACCTTCATGTTACGCCGAGTTGTAAACCTGAGCAGACCTGATACCCAGCCCTTCATAAATGCACAGTCCCAGCGCAGCCTCAGACGTCCTGAAAGAGGACAACACCACGAACCTAATCCCAGACCTCCGACCCCAAAGCCCTAAACGGCCCTAAACACAACATCCGCGATAGTTCCACAGAGCCCAAAATCCCCTCAATTGAAGGACATTCCTTACATGAGATATGGGCTTCTCTATGACTTACGAAACGCTCTTTAACTGGTGTTGGGCTCTACACGCCCTGAACTTCACATGCAAAGCCTCACATCCTATAAACCCCGCCATCTCACCCTTCAAACCATTCGCCTAAACCCTAATCCCCAATAAAAGGGGGTCGGAATACATAGGAATCGGAGTGCCTCGAAGTCCCCATTATACTTATGACAGCATGGTGTAGTATACCCCGAGATCCCGAAAGCCCCATTTATTCCAAGCATGGAGGCCACTAGTTACACTAAACCCTAAACCCTAAACCCTAAGCCCTAAACCCTGGACTCTAAACCCTAAGCCCTAAACCCTACACCTTAAACCCTAAACCCTGGACCCTAAACCCCACACCTTAAGCCCTAAACCCTAAACCCTGGACCCTAAACCCCACACCTTAAGCCCTAAACCCTAAACCCTGGACCGTTTGGGGAGGCCCAGTGGCAGGCTTCGGCTCGCAGCTGAGGGCTCATCCTGCTTAGCTGTGGTTTCTTTCTAAGGCTTTTGTCTTCTCAAGCCCCTTTAGGGTTTACGGTTTAGGGTTTAGGGCTTTTCAGTCTGCAGAGTCTACAGTCGAAAGGCCCAGATTTCTAGGGGGGGTTTTGGGGTTTTGGGGCTTAGGACTTTGGGCTTCGAGGTCTCAAAATGTTCAGTAAGTGGAGGGCTTGGTCAAAGTTTCAGATACCGAAGGGCTTGGGGGTGTTTAGGCGCTTAGGGGTTTAGGGTCCAGGATCAGGGCAGGTTAGGGTTTAGTGCTTTTTTATGGTTTAGGGTTTAGGGTTTAGGGTTTAGGACAGTTTACCGTATACCTACATCCCCAAGCCCTAAGCCTCTGACAGAGCCTCCTCAACCCCATGCCTGGCCTCTCCATGAGGAGCTGCCGCGCTTTGAAGAGCGACTCAAGGCGAAGGGATTGTTTTGGATTTAGGGTTTAGGGTTTAGGGTATAGGGTATCGGGATTAGGGTTTACGGTTTAGGGTACAGGATTTAGGGTTTAGGGTATACTGGGCTGTAAGACTGTTGAAGGCACTGAAGCATCAAAGGCCGACATAAAACTAATGGAAAGGTGAAGAAAGCATCATCAGCATCAGAAGGGAAACTCTTGACTGCCGGGCGAGGGCGAGCATCAGGAGCATCAGAAGGCAAACTTTTCAGCAAAAGAGGCCTTGCGCGACAAGGAGGGCGAGCATCGTGAGCATCAGAAGGCAAATGTTTGACCAACAGGCTCGGCAAAAGAGACCATTTCGCGCATTAGAACGGAACCTTTCTTGCCGTCGGCACAGGGAGGGCGAGCATCATGAGCATCAGAAGGAACACGTTTGGCCCACAGGGCAGCAAGGTCAAGTCAATTAGGGAAGTGAAAGCGAACATCATGAGCATCAGAAGAGAGACTGCCAACCACAGGACACAGCAAAAGAGAGCATCATGAGCATCAAAAGGGAAAGCTTTCAACCAACAGGGTCGCACCAGCGAGCAATATTCGCAATATTCGCATCGTAAAACTGCAGAGCTGCACGCTAAACCCTAAACCCTAAACCCTGTATCCTAGAGGATTGAGGTTCGTGTTTGGGGAATCTCAGGTTTGGGCACCGAATGAAGCAGCCAATGCCCTCGATTTCACGTGGGTGCACGTGATGTAGTGGGGCATGTTAATGGGCACAAGATTGAGTTTTGGCGTTGATACAATTGATTGATTATGTCTGATTACGTTGGGACGAGGATCCGGTGATATTTTGTTGATTTCAGGAAGTCACGTCATTTTGGGCAAGGGTTAGCAAAGGCAAAAGGTTCGGGGCAAGGATTTAGGGATGCGGCTGTTCAGGGTCTTGAATTCTTCAGGCCAGTTTAATAAGGGTCTAGGGTTTAGGCTTTAGGGAGGAAAGTTTTAGGGTTGCACGTCTGAGGAGTTCAGGATATCCAGCCTTACGACGAATGCCTCCTGCCCACCCATAGGTCGCTCATCCCATGGCTCGGTCAGTATCCAAGAAACCCGTGCCAAGCCCTTGAACTTTGAGCCCTAAACGTGAATCATAAATCAACACAAGCTTTACTAAGCACAACACCGTAGGGAGGTACTGTTGATGATATAAATCCTGCATTACCTTAAGGACCCTAAACCATGGGAGTTATGGTATATTCCTGATTATGGGTAATGCAGGATTGGCATCATCAACCGTACTACGGGATTCATGGCGCGCGGCTCTTACTGTCTCGGGTTGGCGGACTACATACATACGGAAGCAACTTGCTTCTAACTCATCAGAATCTACAACAACTCTAAATCCTAGACCATAAATTAAACCCTAAACCCTAAAGTAAACCCTAAAGTAAACCCTAAACCCTAAACCCTAAACCCTAATACCAGGTAAGAACCATACCAGCCCCCAAGTCCGAAGAACCCTGAACCGACAGTCCGGTTCAATCCGGTGCAACAAAGACCCAGGTAGTAGCCTGGTGTTTGTTCCTTGGTGGACGGCTAAACGGCTTAGGGGCCTCGAGCCATGGAATTTTGTGTTGGGGGCTAGCTTAAGCCGGCGCTAGACGCGCAACCCAACAGCTTCGGTTCTAAACAAACCTCGACTTTGAAAAACTCCCAAGGTCCACGTATCCAAAAAGTCACATGATGCCCTTTCCTTGATTTTAACTCAAGCAACGACTTGCTACTAACTGGTACCGTGGACGCTCAACCCCCAAAAAAACCCTGAACCCCAAACCCTAAACCCTACGCCAAAGCCTAGACCGTAGCTCTGGATACTTAAGTACGTGCAAGTACTCCAGGCCCAAGCCATCGAAAGGACTAAAGACTTGGGTGATCATGAAGAAAGAGGACGTCCCATAGAGGGGATAGTCAGACTAGGGGCTGGGGCCTTGAGACATATTATGGTATCAAGGTAGAGACTGCCAAGGGAAGATACCATACACCAATATATCAACAACAAAGGTATCATCGTGAAAAATCGTGATAAGCTCCTTTGTGACATCCGTCGGGCATAAACCAAAACTAAATGCTTATGTGGACCACCCTGCTCGAATCAAACTTACGAAACCTTAACCCCAGGATATTCGAGAAATCCTAGACCTCTGAAGCAGCAGAATCTTCTCAAGAGATTTCCGCAAGACTGTGCAGGCCTGGGATATGATACAGACTGGGGCTTGGGCACTCTATCCCCACACGAACCTGCTTACGGAATCACGACGAACAATATTGTCATTTATCTAGTCCACTCTATTGCGCATTGACCCGGACGGTTGAGCCGGTTCGTTTGGTTTTAGGGTTTGGGTGCGTGGGTTTCAACAAAGATCCAGGATGTGGGGACACATAAGGCTCAATGGTGATGGTGATGTTAATGTGACAAACATGATATTGACAGCACCACCAAGCATAATACTGTTGGTCCCGTTCTCATGTCTGGTCTAAACGACAGCATGACAAGAAAGATGAGGTCTCTAGGACAGGTTTTGGGCTTTTGGTTTGGGGGTTTGGTGAGCGTTTCGGGCTGGTGCTTCGGGGGCTTTAGGTACAGAGCTTAGGGCTTAGTCAAGATTCGTTCGACTGCACCCTAAACCCTGCACCCCGAACCCTGAA